AACTGCACTTGTTTGAAATGTAAACAAAGCAAAATACAGATTTTACACAGTGTAGCATTTTCTCCTATTTTGAGCTATCCATTCGTCTATTCTTTCAAGATATTGGATCAACATTTTCAGAATATGCACGGGAAGAGATTAGTAGATAAAATTAGGGAATTTAAAATAGATACATTGCAATGATTTGATATTTTCAACAGAAATTGTCAAAGTTACCGTCCTGTGTGACGCCATGACTGACGCAAAATCACGCACAACGACAACGGTATTTATCGGAATTTCTGACTATTTTGGTTTGTTTAAATGAAAATTATAACAACAAATAACAGTACATAGATTGTCAGAATGTTTCTGATTACTTACATGTCACATTTATGTATATGCGATCCCTGAATCAACGAAAGCCCCCTCGTAAAATCCCGCGTACTGTTGACAGTGAACACGCCATTTTGTAAACGTCGGTCACAGGTAGTGATGTCATACGTCAACATTGTTGTACATATTTGGTAATTTCTTTGAGGTGAAGGTCCTTGAATGAGAGTGCACACGATCATTGTATCATGCTGTTTACAGTTTCAGTTATGATGTAGATTTTGCATATGTTTTATACATTTTTTCACACAATTAATTTCCCTTTGGATATTTGTCAATGTTCAAATGATATCATACGTAAATATAGGCCACAACATTAATGAACGAACCTTTGATAATCTCCTGTTTGTTTGAACATTGTTTACATAACAATTGACAGGTTTTTAGTGTCGAATATGATATTTCTTTCCTTTGGACAAGTGTTACAAGATGAAGCGTAAATGTAACTGCAGCATGTGCGTATTTCTTGGGATGTGTAATAGTCAATATCATAAGTTCATATTACCAATGTCTTTGAATAGCTGTTTCATTTTATTTTATAACTAAAACTGAATATATTACTTTAACAAAATGGATAATATTTTTCGTTAAAAGATATGCACACATTTCTGAAAGAATTGTCATGGTCTTGGAATTGTTTTTGTTTTTTGTCGTTTGATACAAAGGACTGTGATATCTAACGATTCGCCAGGTGCGTGTTAGCCACAAACAATTTACGAATTATTCCTCTCGTTTTGCATTATATAATCAATGGGTTCAATTTTTTTTCAATATCGTGATCACAGGATATTAAAATGTTCACTTTATTTCTCCAGGAATTGTAAAATGTATAAAAATAAAGCCCATGCCAAGTACCCTAGCTGTTGGTTCAACCGTATACGATTATCCTGATAATTCTATACCAATAGAGCTTTCTTCGCATCTTTTAGTGTGTAATTCTGAGACGAGATGAAGAGAAATAATGACAATATCTGTCCAATATTGAATATAATTTTGGTTGTTTTGAAATATTCTTTTGGGTATTTCATAACGTAAATTGATGCCAAACAGGTGCGTGTCTTGTCCAATTAAGACACACGATAAACTAGCTAATTGTTTACATATTCAAGATATTATTTACTTGGTGAAAGCAGTCATTTTATGTTGTGTCGAAAAAGCGTCAAATTCCGTTTTACACATCGAGATTTTCCATATCATGAACGAAAATTAGGGGAGATATATATTAATCAAAATACCAGTGTCGTCTTTCTCCGTCGTTATCAAAGACATAAAACCAGCCATGACGTCAAATAGAACGTGTTAATTTTTATGGTATTTCATTACATTTAATGATAAGGTTAGTGCTCCATTAATAATGGTGTAATATTAGTCAAATTACACTTACACATTCAGGAGAATGTTGGAATCTAAGGACTAAGTTATAAGTTAGATAGGGCCATCCTTTTCTTTATTACCTCTTTTTTATGAAGCACGATTCCATCATTTCTTATGGGGTTTTTTAACAACTAAACGTATACAGTGTTTTTTATCGATATTTGTGTTGGAATAGTTTGGTTCCTCGTGAACAAAACACCACGAAAATGTATTATCCTTACCCACAGCTAATTCTCACCAAGTGACCTGAGTGACAATAAACTAGTGCTAAGCTTAGCGGAGTTATGCCCCCTTTTCTTTGTACGCGTGTAACCTCTCTGTCGCCTTTTGACGTCATAGAGAAAAATCAGTTTTCGTCATTTACGGCAAGCTATTTTTGGCATTGAATGTATGTCGTTATACATACCCATATAACTCCATTTGATATATAGTTAGGTCGTTCAGATATTACGCAGTATTTTGTTCGCTCACAGATTCCGTAAAGCTTCGAAATAAAAAAAATCGTCGCACAGTACTTTTATCGGTGTACGATAAAAAGCGGAGAAATTTACTGTTTTTCAACGCAGATTAAATTCTCGGACAACACTTTTTAAAACCGGTTTAATATTTGCAGTTATCATTTAACTAAAGCATTTATCCATGACATAAGCTTATGACATAAAAACATGTATGTCATACCCCAATGACATAAGTATGCAAATTAGATATGCAAATTAGATAACCGGAAGTGGGACTCTTTTTTTTTCGCCGGTGCACGTGAGTAGGTGTTTACAAACAACATGGATACCTTTGATGTTGGAGACATTATTTCAATTATTCGAAGGAATATGCCATAAAGGAGTTAAGAAGTTGTTAATTTTGGTTTACACGGCTATGGAAAACATGTATCACTACGCACTATCTATACGTAAGATTTCGACAAGTTGATGTTAATGTTTAATGCAATTATTCCTTAATTGGGAAGCAAAAATGTGAAAATGATAAATAGAATTCATCACTCGTGTTTTTTAATATGGGAAATATCAACCTCGTCCCGTTAATCGGTAATTGCCTCGCCAAAGGCTCGGCAAATACCGATTAACTTAGACTCGGTTGATATTTCCCATATTAAAAAACACTCGTGATGAATCCTCTATTAACTTTACACCATCAGATAGTGCCTAATTAGCACTGACTGAAGTAGCCTAAATGTGGATCATCTGGTTGTTGGTGCTGTCTATAAAGTTTATTTTAGCAAGGCGCTTATCATGTGTATTTTTAATATTTCCAAAAAAGAATCAATTCATCATTTTCCGATAACTAGATCTATGTCCGACTCCCTTCTAATGAAAACGAGTCTCTCGTCGCGCGCTATAACAGTTGGTTGGTTGGTTGATTTGTTGTTAACGCCGCACTCAGCAATCTTCCAGGTATATGACGGCGGTTTGTAAATAATCGAGTCTGGACCAGACAATCCAGTGATTGACATCATGAGCATCTATCCACGTAATTGGGATACGATGACATGCATCAACCAAGTCAGCGAGCCTGACCATCCGCGTAATGAAGAACGTAATAGAAGAGGCTCGATGACGAGCTGATGAAATTTATGACTACTTTGAAGATGTGGAGCAGACTGAGGATGATGGTGTGTTAGCTACCTTTGGATCAACGCTGCTCATTTTCTCGTTGATCCAGTCAAAAAATTCCTTGTTCCTCTGTCAAAGTAAGCCGCTATTTCGGTTTGAGAACGAAGCGACCTCAGTCAGCGATTGTTTCGTTTGCAAGCGACTGAAAGTTAGCGCACTGTTGTCATGGTTGTAAGGCGAATCGCTGTACATCGCTTACAAGCGACTGGCGCTTTGCAACGCACCCCTGGTGACAACAAATCTTCCGCGACAATGTGACGTCATTCTGACGACACTTCACGAGGCAACAGGCTAAACTTTTCAGCAGTCACTCTCACGCCGCAAAAAATGCGCGCCACATTGTTTTTAAATGTAATATTGCTTGTGACAACATTTAGTAGACAGATAACTTCTTTAATAGATATAAACTGACGTCCATTTACCACCTGAAAATATAAATTTCAGACAAAGTATATTTTTTTTTTCGATGAAGTCTATCTAAAACACATAACCTAAATACAACAATAGTGTATGCAGAAAATGTTAATCCTCTGTTACATGTTTGCGAGATAACACGCGAAAAAGTGAAAAACACGTGCACCACGGACAACTGCAAATGCACGTGAGGGTTATAAAACGATTGCAACGGCAAGTCAGACATCCACAGTGATAAAAAAACACACACAAAAGAAATGCCACGACTCACAGTCGAACAACGTGAACGAGCCTTGGGTATGGTACAGATGGGAGCCACCCACGCCCATATTGCACGAACCTTCGGTTGCTCACAGAAAAAACGATCGTTTAGCGATTAAAGACAGCCTCCCAAGACAGGCGAGCTACCAAGGGGAGCTAACCCTGCTTACATTAAAGCATGCCAAGCAAACCTGCGTTGGCGTGACTGTCTTTTTTTTCTTCATGATAAACGTTATCTAAACAAACCATAATGAAGGAAAATAGGCGTGAAAAACAACTTGGTAAGTAAACAATGATGTAATAAAGATCCAATTTCTGGTTCACCATGAAACCAATTGGTAAGTAAACCATCATAGGGTAGACTGCCCTCTGGTCGATGGGGATTATTCTGCCCCTCACAAACATAACATTTAATAAACAAACACAATACTTCAAAAGTCCAAAACGTATTCATCAAATCGCTTTGGTCGTTGACGTTGACGCGATGGCCTTGAAGTTGAAGATGACTGTATACCTGGGTCAAATAGGGGGTCAGATTGATCCGACGCAGAACTGATGTCGGTTGGGTGATTGTCATCAAACACGTCATTCTTAAGCGGTGGCAGAGGAGGAGTAGAAATTTCCAGAGGAATGTGCGGAGTCTCCGGTGTCTGGTGAAGTGTCTCAGGTGAGTCATCATCGATGTCAGATGTGTCCTCACTGTTCGCTTCATGCACACGTGTCTTGTTCCAAAGGGGGACTTTAAAACATTCTGAGAGCTTAACTCTGTATGAAGTGTTCCGCAGTTGGGTCCCAACGAACTTGCGGACATTGCACCAGAGGCCATCTTTGGTGACTACTAGGTAACGATTCCGTGCACATGTTTTATTGCGATCGTTATGAAGGTACACCAGGTCGCCTATCTCAATTTGATCAATAACAGGTCGATGACTCCGAGGAGCCTTGGATTTTTCACTGTGACTGTGGTTTTTTTTGGCGATTAACATGTTGCTCTGTTATCAACTGCTTGTCGGACAGAGGCAACTGACAGATTGTGAATTGGTCTCTCTGGGTCCACATCTCTCGAGGAGACAGGCCTCGTGAACGAATGCGTGTGTTTAGGCGGGCGACAGCGATGGCAAGAGCTGTTGGTGTAGTGGGGCCCCGTACAGGGTCTTGGCGCACAAGCTCATCCTCTAACTCTTGTATGGCCTTTTCAGCAACTGGGTTCTTGTTCACATTCTTCACTCTGCCTATTTCTAGGGTAATTCTATGTTGCTTGAGACGTTCATCCGTGACTAGACTGCTAAAGCCTGGGGATGGGTCAGTGCGGATAACAGCGTGAGGGCCATCAAATGGACGGAATTCAATGCAAAGACGAATCAATGCCTCACACAGGGTGGAGCTACGCTCATCGGTAATGATGCACGCCGCAGTGTAGGATGTGACACATTCACGTAGAACGAGGATTAGTTGTCGTTCCCTGCGCATAACATCTGACGCAAATGCAAACCCAACAGTTTCAGGTGGATCACTGGTGCTTTGGTCCACAACAACATGAGGTGTCTTACGCAAGGAGGCGCACCGGTGACAAGATTTTGAGACAGTGTTTATGGATCTGTCAAGGTCCAAAGCAAAGAAGTATCTATGGCATACTTGCTTGAGTTGGTGTGCAGATGGATGATCCAGTTGTATGTGTATGGCAGTCAGGACTCCGTCTAATACTTGTCTTGGAACAACAATGCACTCTCTTGGTGAACCGAGTGGCTCAGATTTTCGGACAACAAGCAATCCATCCTTGGAGATGGTTGCTGTATTTAGGTATCGTTTGACATCCCTGATGTTTGTTATCTTCTTGGATGGTCGGGTACCTTGGAGAAGATGAGCATGTGTTCGTCGAAGATCCTGGCACTCCTCTTGCAAGGAACGCCAAGCAGACCTGCTTGTGAAAGGAAGGCGGGTTGTTCCATTCATGATGTCCTCTATAGACAGTTGTCGAACAACAGAGCTTTCTGTGCGCTCAATGAAGGAGCAGATTTGGCAAGAGGGATTGTCACATTCTGGTGCATTTCTGCTTGCAAAATCGGATGGCACATTTGCAGAACCAGCGAGGTGTTGTATCGTTGCTTGGTAGCGGCTAACTGTCGATAAGAAGGTAGACACCCGAGGACTAGCAGAGAACTCCCCACGGCATAACTTCTCAAATGCCAAAACACATGGTCTACTGTCGGTAAGGACACATGCTTTGTGTTTTGACTGGATAATGAAAGGACTGAAATGCTTTGTAGCGATAGCAATTGAAAGGGCTTCCACTTCACATGGTAACCATGCGACCTGTTGTCGCCGAAGCTTGGCACTGAAGAATCCTGCTAGTCGTGGCGAGTCACTACGTGTTACATAAAGTGTTGCTCCAATTCCTGGCTTCCTAACAGCACCATCAGTTACAATCCAGAGTTGGTCATCGGGGTGGGGCAGAACTATGGATTTGTTGGATGCGAGACCAGTCTGTGCTGTTTTGAAGGCATCGAGCAAAGAATCAGACCACAGAAGCTTTTCACTAGACTGGCGACCGCCCACTTCAGCATCAAGTGGGGCAAGGAGTGTGGAACAACCAGGTATTACACGGGACAAGACCTTGTAAGCTCCTATAAATGACCGTAAGCCAGTCACTGTTTCCGGAGGTGAACAAGAAGCCAGAGTTGATATGCGGTGTTGACTTGCCTGAATGGATCCTTGGTGCCATTGCCATCCTAGGATGGTTGTTGTCCTGGGAGCAATGACTGTCTTGTTAGGAGATAATCTGAGATTGTTGTGTTTGAGCGCTTCAAGCACGCGTCTCCAATGACGAAGTAACTCATCCGGGCTATCAGCACCACAATAAAGGTCGTCAGCAAGCTTAGCAATCACCCCTTCCTCTAAAAGATCCCCTAGTACGCGGCACATGAGCTCCTCCAATGCAGTTTCAGACCCCGGCATTCCCATTGCAGACCTGGCATATACTCTCACACCACGGAACGGGGTCACTACACCGCAGTATTCATCGACTCCTTGGACAGAGGAATCTGATAAAAGGCATTGGTTAAATCTGTGGTTATAATGTACTTCCACTTGGCAATCTGTCTTGGAGTAGAATCGACATCAGGCATGAGGGAAGGTTGTGGCTTACTGTATCGTCCTACATCAGAGAAGGCGGTCACCAATCTGTAACCACCACTGGACTTCTTGATTAGGAAAGAAGGGTTGAGGTATTCTACTTGGATACCTGCATCTTCAGGTCGTACAAATACACCCATCCGCTCAAGTTCATCGAACTTTTGTTGGAGCTCAGAAAGTTTATCTCGTGAGTATTGCGGGACACGACCCTTCCGTTGTGGAGGTTGTACAGGTCCCATGTTAACAAATGCTTGAAAGGGGCCTGAAGCACCATTATAGCCATCGATATGTTGGTTAAACACATCGTCGAACTCCGTAAGTAGTAACTCAAACTGAGATTTGGTATCTTGCGGGAGGATATTGTCTGGGTCTACACAAACAGTGGATGAGAAACCAATGTCCTTAATTTGAGGGGACATAGTTGGTGGTAGCAGATGTGCCGGCTCAACATCATAATCAGGGTCGCAGTCAGGTATAAAAACTGGGCGAATCTGGCAAAAGTGCTCGTGTTTCTTGAGCAGTTGTGGAGTGTCGGACAGATTCGGGATCCTGATTTTGCCTGAGACGCTTGAGATAATTCCTACTTCTGGCCAAGTGGATGATAAGGTAGAGCGTCCAGGTCTGGTATCTATGCGGGGTTCTATGGCAAATGTGAAATCCGAAGGAGCAAAGCTTTCAGGAACCGGCACCTCAATAAAGTCTCCAGGCCATATGGTAGTAGAAGTGTCTGGGGCTCTGAGTACACAAGCTCGTCTCACAGTATGTTCGTCACCAGTTGTTTCTGTGGAACCGTATGTGTATGTCGTGCCATCACCAAGTATGATCTGATGTTTTGCAGGGCGTACTGCCACATCGTTGGCCTCCATAAATGGTATGCCTGCAAGGACTTCTACATCCAGGTTTTCCACCACAAGACCATTAAAATCGAACTCCTTGTTGTCGCGTGTGAAAAGGATTCTTGTCTCTCCAACGACCTTCAGTGGGGAAGAGCCATCTGCCTGATGGGCTGACTGAGAGCTAGTCTTGATGTCAGCGCCGAAGCCTGTTGCTGTTGAGAGGCGGATCATGTTACCAGTAGCTCCACTATCTACAGTGACTCGTGCCGTCTGGTGGCCACAGAAACAGTACATATAGGGCGACTGACGGACTTGCACACGAAGAGTGGAGACAGGTTCAGTAGATGGCACTGCACACGCATTTTCAACTGTATCACTAGCATCGTCAGCAGGGTCATCAAGTATACTGGCAATTTGTCTTGCTTTGACCATGTATCTCCGGTCATGATCTGGAAGGAACTTGCACTCGCTGAGATAATGAACGTGATCGCTGCGTCCTGCAGCTTTACACAGTGGGCATGATTTTTGAAACTTTCTACCCGTTTGTTGTGCTTTAGCAAAACGTGAGAATGACGAGCGCTGTTGTGAAGTGTTTGTCCTCATAACCTTAGCATCCTCTGCTGTGCGGATTTCATCTAAAAGTGAATCGAGAGCCTGTGAGATTTCAGGTTTCAAAGAGGAAATTGTTCGTGAGCGAAGATCTGTCCCATAACGTTGTTTGACGAGCTTTGGAAGTTCAACGTGTATCAGCCTCAGCCATGTGAGCACAACAAAATTTTCTAACGATGGTGACAATTCCTCGTCCTCTTCAGGTGCATTGCCATAGTGGGTTATTCCCCCTTCACGGCGGAGTAAATTGTCCTCCACAAAAGCCATTAGTCTCTGATACAAATCTTCCGGTCTCTCGTCATTTTCAAGTTTGATTTCGGCAAAGTCAATGAAATGAGCGCCGGTTGCTTGGAACCCGAAATGTAGGCGTATGGCATGCCATATGGCATCTACAGACGTTGAAGATTTTATTATGGTGTTCCGTGAAATTATCGGACAATAATTGGCAATCTGGCCGAGCATGAGCTCCAAACTGCTAACCTTTTGTCTTGCAGTTCTTCTAATAGCTTCACGGACGTCTTCCCCGTCGTCAGTCATGCCCCTGAGTGGCGTGGCCCTAGTTTTCTTATGCCAGACTGCCCCGTCGGCAAGAAATGGAGTAAAATTTGTGTCCAAAGATAATGTATAAAGGAGATTTTGCCTCCAGTTCTCGAAAGAATTTACAGTCTCAATCTTACCGAGGCACCATTGCTTCGGGGCACGTTGAGCGTTGGCCATAATGACAGTCTTGTTTACTCTGCGTTATCCAGGCACTCTACCGCCTGACCTGTTGATCACGTTCAGTGAAAGTATGCAAGTACTACAGTTCGTTGTGTCGCCTGCTTCGTTAGACGTGAGTTCAAACCCGCTGCCACCACGCCAGTTAGGTTAGGAGGAACTGTACACTTGTCACACATCGACAGGACACAGGTAAAGACTTGATGATATTTATTGGCAACACTCGAAACGAACCGCGAAACCCAAGCGAGCCTCCCAAGACAGGCGAGCTACCAAGGGGAGCTAACCCTGCTTACATTAAAGCATGCCAAGCAATCCTGCGTTGGCGCTAACATCTGTGCATACTGCCTCGGGTAATCCAGCCAAGCTACATAGTATACTGAGTCAATTTAAAAACTTTTTTACTAGTAATCCCATATATGATAAACAACGGACAAATAGACCTCTCTTAATATTTATGCATGACCCCAATGTCAAACTCCAAAACGAGGCTTTCCCCGCATACTACAACTATGGCGTCAAAACAAATCCCCGGAAGTGACTTGACTCGCGTACCGCGCTTGACTTTTGCATTCGTGGAGAACTTTGTTCAAGCTTACTCTAGGAGTGCAGGAACTTCTCAGCTGAACAAGGGGTTCAAGTACTACAGCGAGGGTTTCATATCCAGTCTAAAGGGTAACTTTCTCATTCATTTATACTTCACTTTGGCAGGTCACACTGACGTTGTCATATTCATGTGCTCGCATGTGCTGATATATTTACATGAACTCAAAGATGTGTATTAAATATTATTATAGTCAATTGTAAGTTGGAACATATGCATAAATTCAAAGTCATTATACATATTGGAAGTGAGTACCGAGTACGGAATATAACTTCAGGCCAGAGTGCCGCTCAAAGGTCACACAGTGCGCAGTTCGGCGTCCCCTTGCATGCATGACGAAGTTTACATCTATTTCCAGAGTTGATGATTGAAACAAAATTATGCAAACCGTACCAGGTAACGTATACAAGATCAATCTTAATCTATTATTTGCGTGAATACTAAATACCCATAGATCTAGAAATATAAAATATACATTTGTATTTCCATTTTGCAGCTTCTTGTGATGACAGCTGTTGCCGCTTGACTGCAAGGTGCTATCGCTCACAGCGGAAAAACGAATCCCCACATGATATTCAGGTACGAATGAATCTCACAATTGCCCGAGTTTATCCCTGTAACCATGTTGCCCAACCATATTACCAGGAGTGCAGGTAGATAGCAGCTAGGGTGAACATGTGAAAAGACTAATATTAATCGTTTTTATGACCATATTACTATTTTGGAACCAGCCAGTATATTGGATGGATTGGAATTTTCAGCTACTGAAAATAATTCCAAGCATTACAATTAATGATGTTTATGGAAATCACACTACAAGACTACATCTATTTTTAAAACCATTACTACCACTGAATTATTTCAGTACTCTCACCACACCATGCTATGTTGCAGACAAGTACAACATCCTATATTTGGTTTATTTCTCTCTATATGCAGATTATTCTCCACTGTGAGCCGGTGAGTGTCAGCTCTGCTAGCTGCTCATGTGCAATTGGCCTGAGTCAGTGCTGTTGACACATCACTGGGACTTTGTATCTTGTGGCTCATTACAAGCTGTGTGGAGTGAGGTCTATCCCCCAAGATGTTGCCAAGACATCATTGCCACAAACATGGCACATACCAAGGGGAGACAAGATTCGTGGAATGTAAGTTCAGGAGGTAGAAGTTGTTGGCTACAAGAGAGATAGTGATGAGCAGCATAAACCTGTGAAATCTACCCTGTACAACCCAATCCGTTCACCACTTCCTCCATTTGAGCTTTTGTTTGACAAGCTGACTGTGTCTCATCCTGACTCATCTCTTTTCACCACTGTACCCCCATCTGGTGAATCCTATCCACCTCTTGTGAATACAAGGTTTGGCTTGTTTCACAAGGGCAGCTCAATCAGTCATCAACAGAAACTTTCACCATCATATTTGTTGAATATTGTTGATGCCTTTTTCCCAGACCTTCCTGTCAACAGTGACAATACTGGGGACAATCACTACAGCCATGTCACTAATGAGTCTCAAACTACCCTGCTTGACTCACTCTTGATCAGCAAGGAGGAGGCTGTTGAGATAGAGAAGGCTACCAGGCTGCAGGCTGAAGATAAGAAGTGGAAGAGATTGAGGACCCACAGAGTAACTGCATCCAAAGTTGGAGAAATATCAAAGCGAAAAAAAGGTAAACAATTAAAATTTAAAAATTATGGCCAGAATGTGTATGAGAATATTAGCACACAAATCAGATAACGTATATGTAGTTATTATAATAAATATTGATTGATTTTCATTTTGAAACTGATATACTTTTTATTTGTATTCAGATCCTGAAAACTATGCCCAAAAGCTGAGGACCTCGACGAGAAGTGTCATGACTGAGGCCATGAGGGAAGGCCTTGCTAATGAGCCAGTTGCTGTTGCAGCATACAGCAGAGTGAGATATTTTCTTAATTTGACACTGACTGTGTTGGTGCATGTAAAATGCAACAAAACAATTTTATGGAATGTTTGAATATGTATCTCCTCATTATATTGACCTAATTGGTACATAAGTGTATTCAATTCTATCACTGAACTTGATTGTTTTCATTTTTATGGTTTTTGAAACAGTTATCTCCATTTTGACAATCACAAGTTATTCATGCACACATTAGATAGGTAAAATATCTAAAATTGACTTTCAGGTGAAGGATGATAAGATAAATATTTATCCGTCTGGTATTGTCATCAACCCCAAGTGTTCCTGGATGGCTGCCTCACCAGACAGAAAGGTGCTTGACCCAAGCACCATTCCACCATTTGGCCTCCTGGAAATCAAGTGCCCTGACCTTAGTAACAAGGACATCCAAGATCTACAGTACCTGACCATGGTCAATGGTAACCTTTGCTTAAAGAAAAATGACAACTACTATCACCAAATACAGATGCAGCTAGCCATGTCTGGCCTGGTGTGGTGTGATTTTTTTGTATGGTCAACAAAAGCCACTCATTTAGAGAGAATATACTTCTGCAGAGATAGCTGGCAGCAAACTAAGAAGAGGCTGATAAGTTCTACTTTGATTATATCCTATGCTAAAATTATCTTGTAAAAATATGTCATTATCTCCGTCCATCAGGTACTAGTAACTACAGAATAAGAAATCAGAAACTTATTAAGTGTGATAGGTATGGTTTTAATACTGGCCATTAGACAACGATTTGTCACTTGTTTTACAAGTATTTGACATCAAGCTTGAAAAACAATTGTAATGACCATTCATAATGTCATGTAACATCGTTAACTAGGGATGGCTAAAAAAGATTGATAATCAAAACTATTGTTGATGTGAACAATTTGTAACGATTATTGATATGAAAATTGTGTCATCGATAATATCTTATATAATCTATTGTTATGAGTAAAGTTTTAATTTACAGAAGCAGACTTGTTATGTCCATTGCCAAAGACGGCAATTTTGTTATCCAATATTTATCGATAATTGATGGATATTTAGTTAATGATTATCAATCACTCAGATCAATATCTATAGCTAGCCCTATTATTAATATATCAACAAGAATATTTAATAAATAACACAGCTTGTCTTTGCAACCAGTTTTCAACAGGAATGAATTTTCAATGAGTAAAAGCTGCACTAAATGTATGTACAAAAATAAACACTTATATAAGTGTTGTGAATCACTTCCATTCATCCATTCCACATGTATCATATTTCTGGAGCACTGTTTTAGAGTTGAATTTTCTTTTTGATATCCAATTGAATATCAAGTTTAACTTCAGATGTCAACTTTTACATTAGTTATTAATATCAACATGACAAAAATGCACTTCTCTACAACATATATGTTTGGGGTGCAAAACTAAATAACTATCGGTGATTATCATTAAATGGACATTTGCAATCTGTATGCAAGTAAGTGAGTTAAAATTTAATGTCACATCAGCATTATTTCAGCTATATAGCTATGAGACCAAGTTGATATGTACACAGTTTGTTCATGAATACAAAGTTACATTCAAAAACAATTTATGGAACATATTTGGGCATAACAATCTCATGTAAACAGTTTTAAAACACAGGCTATAGGCCACCTTGCTGGGGATCATGGGGACTTACAGTGCCTCGGCTTCCTGTATGACACCCCAGCAGGATTTACGTCATCACTTCAGCTACTGGTGGTTGTGCATAATGCTAGCCAATTTTAAAAAAATACTCAGCAATGAGTTGGCTTTAAAACACTGGTTGATGATAGTTACATCGATTCTGATCGGATTACGTGTCACACAGGGTGACAATAATTGTACGATACTTTAACCCCCTGGACAGAGCCTTTTGATAATGTCTGTTGTATGCACTTGTGCAGTACTTTGTATTGATTTGCAATTTAAGTTAATTTTGTAATACATTTGTTGATTTATACCACCTGTTGGTTGTTTGTTGGTTTCAGACTAAGATTTCTGGGTTAACATACTGTTTCAATTTGGGAATTGACACGTAACACTTGGCCCAGTTTCAGATTTAGGATTGGTCAAACAGTCAAAACACTGTATAGCATTTGGTTTCATGTAGCATCATGACAGACAGCAGGAGCTTATAATAGCAGCAATTATGTGATTATCACATTGATCTTCGACTTTCTGTAAATAAAGGGGGATAAACATTACCATATTCAGTAGCTACATGAACTAAATCTAGGCAGCATGGACATTTGGCAAAAGAATCATCTAAATCGGTTGCTATAGCTACTCGTCACTTAACCATGTTAAAAACTCTTAATCAAAGGTCCCTGAAAACCTGATATTATACAGGCAACAGTCCACAACTGGTTAATGCTGCCCAGTTCAGCAATAGAGATTGTGGAGTCAAACAGGTGATTTTGTTTAACTCGGCTGATAAGTCTCTCCACATGAATCCTAAGAGATGCAATTTTCTGGGTCTCTGCAACTTCTTCAGCTGTAAACTGACCACAGTTATGCAGGAAGGGAGGAATATTTAAACCAACACCCTTCTCACTGAGAATACTTGCAATAGTAAAGCCCTTATCAGCCATGACACTGTCTCCTGGTTCTACAAGATCTAGGATCCCTGAAAGTTTAGTAATTTCTACATCAGACATCACACCTGTGAAGAGACATGAAACAAATGTTACAGCTCCATGTGGGGCAATACCAATCAGGCCTTTTAGAGTGCAGTTGCTTTTGTAGTGGGAGTAGAACATGGAATTTACCACTAAGGCGGATGGAATTTGAAGCCTGATTTCTGTGCAGTCCAAAATAACTCTTGTTGATGGGTATGTCAACCGGAAATCCTGGGGCATGTGGCGATCCACCTGCACTCTAGAAGGCCAGATCGGTATTGATCCTAAAACAAAGTACAAGAAATTGGCCCAGGTGATAACTTTCCTGCTGATAGTTGAAATATGACAATTGAACCTAACTGCCAGGTCTTGCTCGGGTGTGCCAAGTCTTAGTCGTACAAAAAACATGAAAAGTTCATCAATGAGAAGCATACTGCGTGGTCTTCCTGCAAGAGACATATCATCTGAACATACATAATATTTGCTGCACATGTTAAAAGCACTGGGTTTGACAAAGTCGAAAAATATTTTGAAAGAGTGATAATCTCTGAAGGAGGTGTAATATTGCATCATGGCATCATCATGGGAGAAACGTTCAACACCAAATCTCTCAACAGTAAGCTGCCTGCTGAGATCATCTTTCTCCTGCTGAAGCTGCTGGATCCGCAACAGGAGCTGTTGGCAGTCAGGAAGGCAGAGGTCAGTCTGTGTCCCAGCATCAGGCTTCACAAAGGCAGGCTCTTGTTGCAAGTTCTCCAAACTGAAACATAAACATTGTCAAACTGAGATTACCGTAATGATACAGTTGTATTCAATTCTCAAAAAGTTTTATGAAACCTTGTCTGAGCTTGACCATGAAATAGCGCTGATGGTTTATGATAAAATGTAGGGGAGGACCATCCCTCTATTTTATGGTCTCTGGCCAGTGTATAACAAAAGGAAAATGAACTGACCTGTTGGGTTTAAGCTTATGATGTTGCTAGTTTATTTCATTAAAATAACTTACTGAGAATTACATATAATCCTGCTTACTTTGACCCCCAAAATCAAACGCAAACACTACACATTGATGTTCAAACATGGTATTTGACATGTTTTATGTATAGACTTGTGTCTGATTCAATCACTTGACATTAATAAACCATTACCTTTGTTTTCACATTCTTGCTATGGGTTGGAGGGGTTGTCTTGATGGTGGACCTTTCCTTGGTTTTTTGGCAGAGCTCCAGGGAAACAAGGATAGCACGATCCCTTGCTTCAAGGTTCTCCTGACTGGCGTGTACTTATAGTCCTCATTCAGAAAATGGTTGGAGCAGACAGTTGTTTTCTTTGTTACCTGAAGACAGATGATAATAATGTCAGTACCTCATCGGAATATGACATTAATCCATATAAACAGAAATTAAGTCTGTGCCGATTTAATCACCAGTAAAGCATACAAAAGTCTTATTATCTCTATTCATCTAAGAAACAAAACTACGGCAACAATTAGATGCAGACCGCTGATGTCTCGTATACGTATCTCGAATGTCACGAACGAGCGATGTTTCCTAGTAGCGACTCGTTGCACTAGAAATAGCTGAAAAGAGTAACATGCCGATTTGCCCATTTTTTCACTTCATTAGTATCATACCTGCCTCTGATTGTAATTTACTTTCATTACTACGTGTTGACTATATGAGGACTATATGACAACGGCATGCAAGCAGCATCATGCTGAACACGACTGTTTGACAGGTGACAGTTACAAGTGATGCAAACGGAAAAGCTGAATGAAAAAGTTTACCTACCGTAAAAAACGGTCCTTCGTCGCGTCGAATGGCCACTATCCAAAGTTTCCGCAAATCGGCATCCTGAGGGAAGCTGTGGAAACTGACCGATTTGTCGTAACGTGCATCCGACATGCACTGAGGCACACAGCAGTGCTCGGCGGCCATGATGTCATAGTTTGACAGCTTGCGGGGTTAGCCTCGTTTTGGAGTTTGACCCCAGGGTCACGCATAAATATTAAGAGACGGCTATGTATCAGAGAAGGTAATTTTTAATCATTAATGTCCAAAGAAGGATTTTAATTAACGGTGGTAACCATAATTTGTTCCAAGCACCTACGGTATTCGGTAATAACATTAACAGTTTAAATCATAAGTCCCAAGCACGGGAATCTGATGGCACACAAGTTCAGTAGTGTGTATGGCCACCATGTGCGTTGACAACTGCCACACAACGCCTCCGCATGGACCTTGTGGTGCTTGTGAACACATGATTGGGAAGACGACGCCATTGTTGTTGCAAAATGGTGCCAAGAACTTGCAAATTCTGTGGTTGGTTCTGGAGAGTGCGCAGACTGCTTTTCATCCCATGCAGACGTGTTCGATGGGATTGAGGTCGGGAGACCTTGACGGCCAGTCCATGACGTTGACTCCCGCATTCTGAAGGAAATTCCTTGTCAAAATTGCTGTGTGGGGTCTGGCATTGTCGTGTTGGAAGATCAAACCGGGTCCATGTGCTGCTATAAAAGGCAGAAGTTCTGGTGCCAGTACCTGGTCGCGGTAAGCAGCAGCGTTGAGGTTGCCACGGATGACAAGAAGCCTGGAACGTGCATTGCCACAGAAAGCACCCCACAACACTGGGCGTAACGTTCATGGCGCCGCCTCACACCCTCGCCCTAACATCAGCAAATCGAAGATTAAATCGGGATTCATCACTGAAGACGACTTGATTCCAATTCCTCTGAGTCCATCGTAAGTGTCGCTGTGCCCACAATTGACGTTGACGTCTGTGTAATTGAGTCAGAATCGGTCCGCAGTATGGCCGTCGCGCACACAGTCTACCCCTAAATAGGTCATTTCTGGTTGATGTAGCCGTCACAAATCAGTTACGGAGGTGACGTAAGACAATCTGACGATCCTCTGCATGTGACGTCACACGTGGTCGACCTGGCCGAGGGCGATCAGCGGTGGTACCCGTTTGCTGTAGACGCGTCTGTAAATCATAAACAGTCCGTCGACTACAACCCATCGTCCTTTAGACTTCAGCTACGGACGTTCCCGTCTGCAACATGCCGATGGCACGTTCAGGTTGCACATTTGAAAGGCGTGGCATGACAAATGGCCGTAAAGACTTTTGTTTTCTTGTGTTTTTCTTTTTTTTGTTAACGACTGCTAACAAGTATGGCTGAAAACACGTGCGGTATTATGGCAACGTGACCAGTTGCACGTGGAAAACCACTTTTGCCACTATAGTGCTGTGCACATGATTTTGATCGATTCACCTGCACAAACACGGGTGTTATCTGAAGACAATACGTGGCGATTACTGTTTAAATGCACAATAAGGGCCCACAATGATAACTGGTCAAAATGTTAAAATTTTAGGATTGTGAAGTTTTTAATTTGGTTCAGTATATATGGCCAGCAGCTGGACCACTGCCTTCCTGAAGTTCCTTATGACAGGAAGGTTTACCCCATCGGCGTGTATGATTGCCTCAGTTATCCGGTTGTCGTTTACAAAGATCTGAAGCATTGGTCCTACTGGCAAATTTGTTTTCTCGGCTTCCTCGTCAATTTGTTTAGGAGACAACTCCTGCAACCAACATATATGCGTGATAAAATATGATAATAATAATGATAATAATAATATCATACTTATTATTTCTATTATTTTTTTCATGACATTTATAAATCAGTATAATAAAGAAAAGAATAACCTTAATCAATACACGCACTGATCTAAAAAAAATACTACCGCCCCAAACAATTACTTTTAATAAAGTCTTACAAATAACTCATTACATGCCGAAAATGTCTAATCTTTGTAAAATGAAAGAATGGACAAAAGACGGTGAAAGAGTAAAAGACACCTTTGATTTTTCCAATATTGAGGTGCTTTTCGCGCCTCGGCCCCTGCTTCCATTAGTTCCTGCAAAAGTCAAAGCATGAAATTATTTTCTAAATGGACGTTTAATACGCCAGTTCAATAAGTAAAATGAATAGTGATCATTTCCAATATAAAGTTTTAGTTATTTTGCTAATCTAAAATAATGTGTTTTAGTCTTACATCTGCT